TTTGTTTGAGGCCTGGAATGGTCAGGCAGTTGGACTAGGTGGTTGTTGTAGCTTCCTATTAATCGGAAGAGTCTTTTTTCTACCCTCTCCTCCCCTCCTCTGCAAGCCCCCAGGACCAAGGAGACCCTGTTTCCCTGACCCCAGGCACAGCCCACTCACTGCCTCTCCCCTTGCATGGGCTGGGACCCACGTGAACTTGCAGGAGGGGACACAGCTGATGTAGCTCAGGCACACCCCAAGTGTCTCTCGCTGTGCTCCCTCCAGGCTGCAGGAATAGAGTGCACTGTCCCCCAGCTCCAGCCTGCTGATGGTCAGTGCCCCAGAGCTCTCAGCAGCCCGGCAGGAAAACCTCCTGTGGGCAAAAGGGGCTGTGTGTCTGCAGGAGCCTCCAGAGCCCTGGCACTGCTGCAGGTAACGCAGGGGTTCACCAGGACACTGCCGGTAGCAGGCCATGGAAATACAGGAGGCTTTGGAGCTGCAAGTGCAGCGGAGAGTCTGTCCCAGTGTTCCCTGCTGGCCACCACACTGCAGAGCTTGTTGCTTGGATCTCATCACCTTAAAACACACATGAAAGAAAATCAGGCCCATTGCATCACTGTTTTGCTCTCACTGGTGCGAGGAGATGGCCCCCAAAGGGTCAAAGGAAGCTGGCAAAGGTGTTGCCAAAGCCCAGGTGCTTTGCATGTTCCACTTAAGAAGGGGACGAGGAGGGCAGAGTGGGACTGGAGCCAGGCAGTCACCAGGCTGGTTGGATGACAGAAAAACCTTGAACATCCCCTACAGAACAGAACATTGCAAGTGGGACTCAGGAGAAGGGAAGCCTCAGTGTTGGGAAAGGAGCTCTTGAGGAAAGACCAGGATCACTTGTGGTGCGTGGGGATGGCCCCCGATTTCTTAGGAACAGCCCTGAACCACTTTGGCATCCACCATCTCCAAATTTCCTGGGTGCTGAGGCAGACCCGGGCTGGTTGTTGTTAAAGCTCAGCTGGGTTTCCTGTCTCCGTGTGAATAGAGCAGAAGTAGCGGGCAGAGTCGCGGGGCTGCAGGGTCAGCAGGGACAGATAAGCGGTGGACTGGGAATTGTCCCGGGAAATCTTGGCCCGAGTCTTCACTGACTCGTCAAAAACAAAAACTGTCGGATCGTAACTAATAACGGACACCCACTCCAGGCTGCCTCCGGGTGCCTGACGGTACCACCAAATTCCGTAATTCCTAAAGGTGAAGCCGGACCCGCGGCAGGAGAGGGTGACGGAGTCCCCGGGCGCTCGCAGCCCTCCGCCGGCCTCCTGCAGCCTCGGCTGTGCCCAGAGCCCTGCGGAGGGAGAGCGCAGCAATCGGGCAGGGAGCGAGCACGGCCCGAGGGCGCTGTCCCGGTGTCCCGGTGCCCCCGGGCCGGCACAGCCACAGCCACAGCCGCCAGCCCCGGCCCACAGCCCCTGTGTGTGTGTGTGTGTGTGTGTGTGTCTGTGTGTGTGTCTGTGTGTGTGTGTGTGTCTGTGTGTGTGTGTGTGTGTGTGTCTCTGTGTCTCTGTGTGTGTGTGTGT